AAATAATCAAAATGTGATTGGGTAAGAAAGATTAGAGAAAAAAAATTGAAAAACGAACCATTATTATTCTAAAAGAAATTAATTACATCATCGTTTAGTAGCGCGTGTTTCCTCCTCTTGCCTTCACTACTTCTTGAAGAGGCCTCGGCATACTTTCCACCAGTCGGGAAATGTTCCTTTGCTGGAGGATAGCCCATTCCTCCCGAAGAGCCCTTTCAAGGTCCTGCAGTGTATCAGGAAGTGTTGCACGCGCTCTTATTCGTCTTCCGAGGTTATCTCATAAATGATCAATAGGGTTCAAATCTGGAGAACGTGCTGGCCAGGCTAAAACCTCAATATTGTTCTGTTGAAGGAATCTGCACATGTGGGCGTGCATTAGAATAGAACGATCACCGATTTCGTTGAGGATAGGCAACACATGAGGTTCCAAAATCTCATCTACATAGCGAATGGCCATCAAAGACCCTCCACGAACAACCAATTCTGTGCGGTGCTCCATTGAAATTCCAGCCCACACCATTAAGGAACCATGTTGGAAAGGTTGGCTCTGGGAAAATTACAGGCTGCATATCTTCCGTTTCTTCTTCTCCACACCCTTTCATACCCACCTGGAGATAGAAGAGCGAATCTTGACTCATCTGTAAAAAGTAAAGCACTCCATTCGTCCATAGTCCAATGGCTGTGTTCTCGAGCAAAAGTCAGCTGTGTTACTCTGTGAGTTCTGGTCAACTCTGGTCCTCTTACTGGATGAAAAACCATTAATCCATACTCATTTAATCTTCTCCGAGCGGTACGTTCAGAAATTTGCACACCTCGAACTTCTTCGAGCTGATGAATCACTTGAACAACGGTAAGGTGCCGGTTTTGTAAAATTCTCAAAGTCAAAAACCTGGTCATCCTGTGGTTCTGTTACCCTAGGCCGTCCAGAACCGGGCCTTCTATTGTAAGAACCAGTTTCCTGAAAACGCCTGACGGCGTCTCGTCAAGTTTCATATGGAACTTCGATGGCATTAGCTGCATATCTAATGGAACGTCCATCATCAATAAGTGCCACACCACGCGCAACATCCTCAGCACTAAGAGGCATTTTTAAACTTAATATTGAAAAAATTAAAAGCCGGAGACTAAGAAATGTGCTGCAAGAATCGGCACTGAACTAATGATACTGAATAAACATTTTGATTCCATAGAAAGTAAACATTGGAATCTAGAATCATTTCATTGAATTAAGGATTAAGGGTTATTGTCCTCTATATTAACATTCCTAATTGAAAACAAACAAAAAGATTACCTATTTATTCATTAAAAACAATAGACCAATCCAAAGCAGAAATATTTTTAGATGAAAACATAAAAAATCAAGAGGGTGGAATTTTTTGCCTGTCAGTATATATATATGTATTAGAGAAAAACTTTTATTGGAGTAATAGCAGACCTCAATGCCCACAAAAAAAGTTCATATAAACAATGGGCCAATTCTCAGCAGGAAAGTAGGAAATCCAAGTTTAGTGTTTTTTTTAAGTAAGTCATGCTTTTTGATGAATAGGAAGTGATAAATAAAGAAATATTTAATTTAAGTAATTAACAATTATTTCTATGTAAACTAGATAAAATTTTCTTCAAAAAAATAAAGTTTGTCATTGTTTAAAATCATTTTAAGAGGACTTTTAAGCAGCTAAACTTGGCTAATTCTGTTTTTAAAAAAATCATAAATTATTGGCAATTTTTTTTTTCATATATCCAACTATACTATAGATACTCCACTTTTAGAAAAATTTCCTGGTTTAATAAACAAAAACTTAAGATTCCCCTTACGCTGTGTAAAAAAATGAGATGATTTTTAATCCTGTCTCCTAAATGACTACAATTAACTGTTGCAAAGCTTTTATTTCTTGTTTTTACATGATCTGGATATATTATAATAAAATTAATGTCCTAAATACACTTCTTATTTATTAATAAAAAAATTAATAATAATGATTTGTTAAATATTTTTATGTAAAGTATTTACGAAACTGTGGGTTTCTCCCAGATCTCTGTCATAGGAATTGGTCCGCATTTATAAGTGACAAATTTAATATTTCTAGTCTTTAAATTCACGTTTAAAAGAGAAAAACCCTGCTGATTGCTTCAATTATTTTCATAAAAACGTAAATCTTAGGACTAGAAACATGAAATTTGTCACTTATAAATACGGATCAACTCCTTTACAGAGATCTGGGACAAAAACAATTTCGTAAAGACTTTACATGAAAAGTATTTAACGAATCATTATTATTATTTTTTTCATTTATAAAAAGTGTATTCAGGGAATTATTTTAATTATAATATATCCTAGATCATGGGAAAACAAGAAATATTTCTTTATTTATCACTTTTTATTCATCAAAAAGCATGGATTACTTAAAAAAACAACACTAAACTCGGATTTCCTACTTTCCTGCTGAGAATTGGCTTATTGTTCATATGAACTTTTTTGTGATCCTTTAGGTCTGCTATTACTCCAATTGAAATTATATATATATATATATATATATATATCATTTCCAAGTCAAATTCAACCTTTTCCAAGTCAAATTCAACTTTTTCCATTTCAAATTCAACTTTGGAATTTTTGTCAATTTTCGATTTTTTTCAAAATGAAGGCCACTTAGTATATTATCGAAGGCATAGCTTTTGAAAAATACAAAAATAATTATGATAATGCGGTTGCATATCCATTTATTTTAACTTTTTAGATTTTTTTAGTATATTTCCATGTCATATTCAATTTTTTCCAAGTTAAATTCAATCTTTTCCAAGTCAAATTCAACCTTTTCCAAGTCAAATTCAACTTTTTCCAAGTCAAATTCAACCTTTTTCAAGTTAAATCAACCATTTCCAAGTCAAATTAAACCGTTTTAAATTCAACCGGATTTATTAGGGTCTAGTATTATGCTGTCGATTGCCTAGTTTTTTAATGACCTCTATATGATTACGCCACTGCGTTTCAACTTATTTATTTTTTTCCAATTTATTCGATGTAAGTGTTTACTTATATGTTATTGGAGATGTAGTTTTTGAAACTGACCTTCATTTTAAGATTATGCTACAATGTTTTAGATTATAAAAGTTTTTTTGACTTATTCGGTATAAGGATCTACTTATGTTATCAGACAGGTACTATTTGAAATTTTTCTAATCTTTAATATTTAATTTCCATTTTATGATTAAGCCGCTGCATCTCGATTAATTAGGCTTCATTTTGGATTTTTCAATACAAAGTTTCATCAATATGTTTTCGAGTACGAATAAATAAATAAATAAATATTATGAAGCTAAGGTTAAATTAACCACAAAACACAAAGTAAAAAGCCATAATAGCAACTAGGAATAAATTTAACCTAACATATTCAGATTTTTCAGCTAATTGTTCGAAATCTTATAATTTTGTAAGAGGAGACCAGAACATTAAAAAAGATAACTAAAAATGAAACAATGGATATTTTATTTATTTTGGTTGTAAAATAAATTAATTTTTCGTATTTTTTTTATTCGAAGGAAGAATCCAAAATACTTAAACAAACTGAATCATAGTAGCCTAATCTTCAAATGGAGATCATTTTTAAAAACTACGGCTCTGGAAACATAAAAGTAGACCCTTATATCGAATAAATTAGAAAAACTTAAATAAGTCAGAACACAGTGACGTAATCTTTAAATGGAGGTCATTTTCAAAATCTACTCCTCCAGAAACATAAGAATACACCCTTATATGGGAAAAATCCAAAAAACTTGAATAAGTTAAAACGCAGTGGTGTAATCATATAGAGGTCATTTTCAAAAACCAGGCACACGACAGCATAATACTAGACCCTAATAAATCCGAATAGGTACAATAAATCAATATCCGTAAGTGTAACATAAAATCGATAGTATTTTGAAAAACTCTACTTAGGGGAGCATAATAATAGACCTTCATATTGTAGGGGGTGGATGGCCCTTATTTTAAAAAAATAGAAACATTAATTTGTAATGGAAACGTTTGAATTTGAATTGGAAAAGGTTTAATTTGACATGGAAATGGTTGAATTTGACTTGGAAAAAGTTTAATTTGATTCGGAAAAGGTTGAATTTGACTTGGGAAAGGTTGATTTCGACTTGGAAATGCTATATATATATACATATGTATGTAGCAGCACTACTAATTCCGGCATAATTAATAACTGTGTCAGTGATAATATATCACCATGTTATATAAAAATGTAATTAAAAATAAGAGGTTACATTAGGTTACATAAAGTTATGTGTACTTAATGTTTGTACCACTTGTAACATTACTCATATATCAAAATAATGTTAATATTATATAAGAAAACATTCCTTTGGTAAGGCCGAGCTCTAAAATATGTAAATGCAATTAAGAATTCTTGTGCAATCATATTGATATTGTTAAAATAAAAAATATTTTTATCAAGTGAATTTGCGTTACCTATTTGTTATAATAATAAATAGGTAATATATATATATATATATATGGTCTGTAGCGGCAACCGAAAGAAAAGATACACATATATAAACAAATATTCATCAAATAAACTGGAACCACTGAAATTACAGAAAATCCACAACACTCTTGCTATGATCCTTTAAATTACAGTGCTATCAGAACTTTCTGTGGTTCTGTCAATCTATAGTTCCTTTTGTCTTGAAATCCCACTATGAATTCCCAGTTTATTAAAAGACTGAAATAATCTCAGATTTTTTAGAACTTAGACAAAGCAATATTGAGCATTGAAATTAACAAAAAAAAAAATAAACAACAGAATTATATTTGAGGTGCAGAATGTGGACAGTAGATTGACAGATGTTTTTAAATTAAATTTTCATATCCTATAATATCTTTAAGTGTAAAATCTTAAACTTGAGGGGAAGAGGGAATAAAATTTGTTTACTAAGTAAATTACAAAGGTTCATTATTAAAATCAAAACGATTGTCCAAAACAATAAAAAAAATTTACCTTTTCATGACTTTCTTCTTTTTCTTTGTCATCAGCATAGGTCAGATAACTTTCAGATCCATCATCATAATCTGCACTGACAATTAACTCATGTGAATAATCATCATCATCATCGTCATCATCATCATCATCATCACTAATGACAGTTGGCTCATGTGTTTCATCATCATTCGTGACAGGTGGCTCAGGTTTTTCGGGTTCTTGAATTTCAATTGATGGATTTTCTTCTTTAGAATTAGTTTGTGTACTTTCTTGTGTTACAGGAGAGGGTTGATTTGAAGAATCAACACTGCTTTGTGGTTTATCGTCATCTTTTTTATGTTCAGCATCTGTATCCTTTGAGAATATGAAATGAGAAGTTACAACATTTTATTATAAATATCACCTTTATTATTATTATTATTTCTTTTAATGTAACCTTATTTATTTTATTATAGACATTAAAATTAAATCCATGATCACTATAATAATACTATTAACATTTTTTATTAATTCTTTAGAATAAAATAGAGGTAAAGCTTTGTGAGCTTTAGAGAGTAAAAGTAAAATAAAAAAGTATAACAAAATAAATAAATAGAAAAAATAATAAATTTTAAGGTAAATTTTAGACAGGAAGTGATTGGATAATTAAATTTTAATGGTGGAAAGGTAATTGGAGAGACACACAGATGTAGGAAGGTATGGAGTTCTATAGGAACAACACCTGGGGACAAAAGATCTGTTATCCGATCAGGTAGCAGCAGCTGGAGAACGACGCTGGAGAGAAGAGAGAGCACTTGAGGCTGTGATACGGAGGCGAGAGGACTTGAGGCTGAGACAGGAAGAGAGGAGCTTGTCAGAAGAGAGAGATACTACAGTGAAGACTAAGAATATCAAGCCTACAGTCAGGAAAGACTTTTATACATTCATTTATTACAGTTGTAAAATAAATTGTTTTATTATACAGGAGTGAAAAATCATTTCATTTAGTTGTCCTATATGCTTCACAATTGAAGAATAACAAACCAGGTGAATCAATTCATTCAAAGTATATTTACTAAGTCCCACATTTCATATATATATATTCTTATTGTTTCTTCTCACTCAATGTCACTAAAGGTATTAGATTCCCGAATTCCCAACAACAGTTAAACATCCTTAAAAAGTCTATATCGAGTGCCGGGGTTTTGTTTTAATAATAACGAGTGTAAATAACCTAGTCCCCCGATAAAGTGGAAAAGGAATAGTTATAATTCCCGCCAAAAAGGAATATTTAAAATTAACTTTTAACAGGTTATTTACAGTCTATTCAATTACGAGGCCCGGTTTGAGAAGATTCAGTCCAAATTACGGGAAAATAACACAACTATAAGGGATAAAAAGGAAAAGATTGAAACCTTAGCAATGCAAAACTCATTCATTGATTTAATAGATACCGCTAAAGCAATTTATTACAAATTGGTACATGTGCGTAATCTTCCTGAAAAGAAATGTGAGATTGTTTCTATCCCTTTTCCTTCTGTTCCTCAGGAGCTACCGAAAATTGATTTACAGTTATTTTCAGGGAAATTGGAGGAACGTAATGGGTTTTAATCTCTTTTTGACTCTATGGTCCATAGTGAAGAATCCCTATCAACCATTAGGAAATTTCATTATTTACGAAGAGATTCTTGACAAGAGAATTGTTCCAAAAGATCAACAGGCAGGAAATTAATTTGCTGGAATTGTGGTGGACCTCATGTATATTCTATATGCTCGCTACCTCATAAGTTGTTTTGCTATCGTAGTGGTAGCCCACGAGTTTCCATTCATTCCTGCCCTAAATGTACTCCGGAAAACAGGCGAGGGAATCGGAAGTAAGGATCATTCCCATTATCATAGTCTCATCTGATCCGCCGAGAGTCGATTCGTATTACTCGTACTGTTTCTCATCGTATTCCTATCGGTACCTCTAAGCCTGATCTCATTTCTTCTCATGTTGTCTCGAATTCTCCAGACAATTCTACTGTATCTATTTGTCCCTTATCTTTGCCGGAACAGATAACCCCTTTTACGAAACAGCTTTACATGATCTTCCGAATATGCAAAGATTGCAAAAGTGACCTTATTTACTTGGCTCTATTCAACCCTGTTTTCCAAGAACTCATATGTTGGGTCAGAAGGGGTGGAAATTCTCCTTCAATGTGGATATGATGTTGAGAAAATTCCCGAGTTTAATATCTGTCACTAATGGAAGTAGTATAGTGGATAAACGATTCTCCATTCCAATTACCGTGGGAAACAGTTATCATCGTATGATGCGATACTATATGTTTTAACATCGCTTCCATTCAAGTTTCTTTTAGGGTTAGATTTTATAATTAAAACTATAAAGTGCACGAGTCTTTGTGGAGCTACCTGGTGGTTTCAAGATGACCCTAACCATAAGATCTTGTTTCTTCAAGATATTCCATTAAAAAAAAACAAAAAAAAAACAACCTGTACCACTAACAATCCATGAAAGGTTTTGGGTTCAGTACAATGTGAAGAAGTACTGTTACAAGGACAACAGTTGTGCAGGAAAGTGATGGGCCAATATCACACTCAGCCGCCAGGTTTTCCCCTTAATTAATTATTATAATTAAGAGTGCCCACTTTATAGAGCCTCAGGAGGGTCTCCCAGCTCCACGGACCTTGAGCTCTGGAAGTTAGTGCTCACCCACTGAGCTACCCCGCTCCCCAAGATATTCCATTACTGAGGTGTAAAACATCTAAAATTTTTGGTATTAATTCAATTCATTCCTCTGAAAAGTTGGATATTGATAGAGTAGTCAGTGAAGGATTGCTAACTCTCCAAGATTCTCTGAGATTTAAAACGCGAATATTAATTGTAACAATATAGATGTATAACAACCCATAAGATAGATGTTAAGAGTGCCCCAACCTATCAAGCAACGTTCAACACAAAGCTAAATGGATCTGGTCAGAAGAACAGGAAGCCTCTTTCAAAGCTCTAAAGTCAGCTCTGACAGAAACACGAATATTAGCCAGACCAGATTTTGAGCAGCCCTTTCAACTACAGACCGACGTTAGTGATAAGGTACTTGGAGCGATCTTAACTCAAATACAAGATGGCGAAAAAAGAGTCATCGCTTTTTGCTCTTGTACTCCAAGTCTGGCTGAAAGAAATTATACTCTGACTGAAAAGGAATGCCTTGCAGTTTTGTTTAGCATTGAAAAAAAATTGGCACTACTTAGAGGGTTATTCATTTACGGTTATTAATAACCATGCCAGTCTTAAGTGGTTACTGAATTTGAAAAACCCTTCGGGAGGACTTATGCTAGATGGGCTCTTCGTTTACAACCATACGATTACAAGATGGAATACCGTAAGGGTAAACTCAATACAGTGGCTGATGCATTATTGAGAATTGCCGCACAGTCTTATCTACCAGTCCCGATTTGAGTTCTTCTGCCAATTGCATTTCTTCAGGAGCCTCCCTACCATCCGACGAATCAGGACCAAGTTTCCAGAATATCATCCTGGATGGTTGATAAAAGATGGACAGTTATTATACCATCGAAAGAACCCTTTGAAGGGAGAGCTTGAGGACCCTAGTGAAAATGGAAGGACGTCTTTCCTACAGAGTACGGATACATATAATATGAAGAAAATCATGATCTTCCCCAGCCGGAGGAGTTCAGGATCGAGAGACTACTCCTCTTTACCATGTACAGGCCAATCCCACGGAACGAGCAAATCGTAATATCAAGCAACTTATCGTCACGTACCTAGAGAAGAAACACCAATGCTGAGATGACCAACTAGGGGAGATCCAGTTTGCTTTAAACTCTTTCATTCAAGATTCAAGAAAGTTCAGTCCCGCCTTTTTGATTTTTGGTGGAGAGCTAAGGCCTCAACATCAGGCTTCCCAAGAATATATTCTCGAGGCTTGTGCAAAAGAAAAGATTCCTTGGGCTGTTAAAAAGAGTAAACTGCACGAAGTTCATCATGTAGCAGAGGAAAACTCTAGTCTATATATTATAAAGTCTTCGTTATAATTTGAGATGCCGAAAGGATTGTTTGACCCGACACCATAGGGTCAAGTTCAAGGTGATAAGGGTCCTTTGAGAAAATGAATTCACCTGCTTTGACGAGGTCTATTGAACAGTGAACGCTCTGCAAGATGAGCGGATATTGTTGAACATATATGACAAATGCATCACTTTCCTAAAAGAGAAATCCTGCGAGATCTTTGGAGAGATAGACTTTACCGTGAGAGGCCTCTGGTTTGGGTGGCACGGAATAATTCCAAAAAGAACAAGGAGCTTCCTCGAGGAACTAAGTGTTGATGTTGGGGAGCTTGCGATATTGGCCGAGAATATTATTCTGGACTCCTTGGGGATCATCCATCAACATTTATATAGTAATTGAGGATGTCTTTTATTAATCTTTTATTTATTAAATTTTAATTTTTTTAGCATCTTCTTATCTATATTCATGGAATTAGTTTGGTATATATGTGTGCGATTTATAGTTGAATTCCTGGCATTTGAAATTTATTTATTTTTTTAAGAAAGTATATATGTTATACAATGTTAACGGCTTGATATGGTTTATTGTTGACACTTTATCGGACTAGTGTTATGAAAAGAAAAAAAAAAGGATGTGTATATATATATATATATATATATATATAATAGAAAAATGTAATGTAATAGTTATGTCCATATGGATTTATAAGTATGCTGCGTATAAAACAACCCTATGTAGTAGGGCAGCATTACTTTCAATAAAGTATTTCTCTCTCTCTCTCTCTCTCTCTCTCTCTCTCTCTCTCCTCTCTCTCTCTCTCTCTCTCTCTCTCTCTCTCTCTCTCTCTCTCTCTCTCTCTCTCTGAAAGTATTGACTTAAAACTTCGATAGCTATGAATAAAAAGCTTTCTAAACAATTTTTTTCTGAAAGATTGATAAAAATTGTTGTTCATTTAAATTAGTGTTAAAATAATTCGAAATACATTGAATGTTGAGATAAAAAGAATAAAATTAGCTACGAAATATTTTTTTTTTTTTTTGTATTTATTTTTTATTATAAGTATTTTTTTATTTATAAGTATTTTATTTTTTATTATAAGTATTTTTTTAACACAATTTTTAAATATTTAACTATTTTAGCTTAAGATGTTCAATATTTCTAAGCACATTTATTTCATATTATTTTGAGTACCCCTTCAGCTCTTCTTATCCTAAATAATCACTACTTTAATTATTAAAAAACAAATCCTATTACTCCTTGAGAACTAAAAAATAACATATATATTTTTTTAACTAAAATTATGGCATGCTTTCTATTAAGCAATACCAATAATTAGGATCTAATTGTAACATAACTTATTAATGATAAAGCCGATAAGCAATATTTATCACAGAAAATAAATGTATCTTTACTAGATAAATATCAATTTAGGCTTAAGATAGTACCAACAAATTCAAATACGATTCATTTTATAATGTGAATTATTCCAAAATAAAGATAATGATACAACAGACAAAAAAAAAAGCTAAGAAAAATTATTCCAATTGATCTTGATACTCAGAAGTATTATTTTGATATACATGCTTAGGGAGAAATATAAAGACAAATAAAAAAAAAATAAATAAAAAAAAATAAAAATAAAAAATAAAAAAAGCATGTACCTATATCGATTGAATAAATAGAACTATATAAACAATATAATCTCAACTAACAACAGGTATAATATTACCTCAAGCTTAAATCAACAGAAAACTACTAAGTCAATACTAAACGTTTATTGTAAATACAAAACAACAAAATGTATTTTATGAATAGATAAATTCATAAATTAAACTATTCATAATGAATAATCACACTAAAAATGCAAACTTTTCATTGGAAATTTATAACAATCAATCAAGTGAAGGATAATCAGAATAATTAATAGTAACGGAAAGCAAAATTGATAAACCAACATCTAATGACACAAGCCTAACCTCATATATAGATACCTGGTACTGTTCCACATGAATAGATTGGAAATTACTATTGTTGATTAATTTTTTTTTAATCCTGATTGGATAGTCATTTTCATGCATGGGAATAAAACATTTATGTGACATTCATAGAACTCAAATAGATTTAAATTTAAATATGGAATAATTAGATGAATTACCTTGGTAGTCCAAAAGCAGCATACTACAATTAATGTTACAGGTATGAGAAGAATAACTACATATAAGGCCCAGAGCCATGGATACTGGTTTGTGAAAGCAATGAACTGATTAAGTAACGTGTCCTATAATACCAAATATAAATTAGATAAAGAATTTGACATTATTCGAAATATGAGCATTAAAAATGAGTATTTACCGTAAGTAAAACTGAATTTGTCATACAAATTAAAACTTTTTTTTTAATTTGGCATTTTATGTTAATTTTTTTAAAATATTTACAAAATAAAGTTTAGCGTCATGAGTATTTATTAGGAAGTGATAGTGCATTTGTTTCTTATTGTAAGATTATATATCCAATATTAAGCAAGCTGCTCCTCCCCCCAAAAAAATTCAAAACGTTATCAGTATAGAGCTTAATTAATATGATTAAAACATGACCACATAACAGAAATAAGCAGAACTAATATTGTGATTAAAAAGTTAATGTCAGACCAGACTAAAAATTCAAGCAAAAAAGAAAAAAAACTTTACAGTGATCACTTAAATTATGTTATGATATAAAAAATAATTTATTTACTTCAAGATAACTTTTTTTAGCCAGATCTATATTTTGTCTGTTTAATAGGCCAAGTTGGTATATTTTTATAGACCCAAGTTCGATTAACAAAAATGAGTATAAATACATGATAAAATAGAAAAAATTCAAATTTTTAATGCTCATATCCAATAGCAACAAAAATTGTCATTGATAATAAAATAGCAATACATATGACCAACTAATAACAGTTTATAGCACTTAAATAATTTTCATACCTTGTAACAAAATATTACGAGGAAAACACAAACCAACAGAAATAAATGTATGTAAGCATATACACCTTGGTAACTAAGAATAGGTTTATATGTAATTTCTTTTAACCTGATTTCACACAATTAATTTATCCAAAAGGATGGTCAACTAAAAATATTAAATTTAATCACAGATAATCATTGATTACATATAAGTAAACATGTTCTAAACAACTAGCAAACATAACCAATTTTAAGTACTCAAACTATAAAAGCATTTGAACTTTACTTTCTACAGTGGCACACAATCATTACTTGACGGTGAATGCTTAGTATCTGTATACCTCCTTAACTCTTCGCCAGAGGTACCAGACATATATTGCTATTGGAATAGAACAATATACAAAATATAAAGACCACCATCCTGGTTTATGGTTTAATGACACCATCATTTTTCCCCACATAGTTTCCTACCAAATTCAAAATTAAATTTATAGATTAATTTTTTTTTTCAAAATTATTAACATTAATAAATGTAATACATTAAAATAAAAAAAGTAAAATGGTTAATTTGAATATGAGCCAAGACAGTAATGGTAAACTTTTTGTCTGGAACTTGTAGTATGCAACTTTAACGAATCCTAAACCTACAAAGTGGAGCTATATATACTCATTTGCAAATGAACTGGATTATTACATTAACTGTTAATAAAATTGTGAAGAATCAATATTTCTCAAAGGGTAGTTCATAACAATTTGTTTTTTTGTCTGTAATGTGCAAATTAGCCTTCACACAGTTAGAAGGATGATAGAGCATGGATTGCACCAGCAAAGACCTTTGCGCTTTGCAGGACTCACCCCACAACAAAAAATTTTAAGATTTCAATTTGGTCTAATTCACTTATCATGGACTGATCTTGCAAGAGATAAGTCTAAATTTGTACTGCACCACGATTCAAACTAAGCAAGTTACCAGAAGGTCTAGTGAGCGATTTGAGCCTTCTTTGGTCTTGCTTGTTTACACATTTGGAGGAGGCTTAATTACATTGGGGGTGGTATATCCTCCAGCTCTTGGACAGAGATTGTGTATTACAAAATGAGACTAGGACTGATCAGCATTACTTGGACAGAGTCTTCAGCATCAATAGTGCACATCTACAAAGACAGATTTCAGGACAGAATACCCTTCATAAAACTTTAGATTAACTGTAAACAGAACTTTTAAAGCCCAGTAACCTTGTCATGAAAAGGGGGGAGGGTCTAGGCTGCATCGAATAGAGGCATAAGGTTTCTTTTTTTTTTCTTGTATAGGATGTAACTGAGACGAAAAATCAAAGTTTTCGACCTCGGCGATTCCCCCGGATCACTTTTGAAAATCCTAAAAACTATTTTGACCATGAAGAAACACGTTTTTAATAAAAAACATTCTATTCATTTTTAAACTAGATTAAATATGATACAATTTAAGACCAAAACAGGCTCATTAAATTTAATAAGTTTTGAGATACATGTTTTCAAAGTTTTGAAAAATTATCGAACTTCAAAATTTTAACTTATTTTTTAGATAGATAGAAAATAACTTTATTCTGGGACAAAGTCCCTTGAGAATAACAAAATAGAACAAAAGAAATAATGTAAAGAAAATATAAGGTAAACATTCTATATACCAAACAATTAACACTATAACATCAGAAACTTAAAGCTATTTGCAGTGATAGACCAGTATACACTTTTAAGAAAATAAAGAAGAAAAAAAAAGGAAAAATATATTAAATTCTTCATTAAAATAAGCTTTATGTTTCTGTTGAGAAAAGAAAAAGATGAACCTGACAATATAAATTGCCTGATTACTACATAAAGACATTATCATTTAAATGTTGATTAATATATAAATACATCATCATTTTTTAACCTAACAATAGGCAAGAATTTAGTGGTGTATAAAAGATAATAGTTATAAACAAACAATAGATGCATTCAGTGACATTAAGAATAGGAAAATCTTTACCCTATACGAAAATTAATACCCGTAGCAAAGAATAGCATTGATATTTGACAATGAATGGCATGAAATAAATGTATGTTGTTTAATGGTTAGCAACTATCCGACTGTTTTTGGGATAGGAATTGGAATAGAAGTGTTTTGAATGTGGATATGGAGGAAGAATGTCCAATTTTGATATGGATGGAATCCCAGAAATTGACAGAGCGAGTAATAAAGGAGTTTCGGAATGAGGCAGATCTGTAAGAAGGCATGTAAAGGTTAGAAAGTCAAGACCATGTGGAAAGGAAATGGACTGAGGATTTGAATTGGAGAAGGTTGTAAGAGTAAGAAGGACGATGATTACTGATGATTTGGTAGAGGAACGTACCTAGGATATATTGTCTTTGGAAGGAGGGGAAAAGACACCTTAACTCAGCGTAGTGGAGAGAGACATGGGAGTATCTTGGGGCCCCAATTACAAATCTTAGGCAGCTTTTCAGTCTATTGCGGAGCTCCACAGAGAAGCCATCATACACCACACAGCTGTAGTCAAAGTGGGAGAAAATGAGAGAGGAAACTAGGAGTCTAAGCGTATGTTGAGGTAGAAGATGGCGGAAGCGATGGAATAGTTTGTGGGTGGAAATTGTCCGTCGAGAGATGTGAGAAATATGGCGATTCCAGAAGAGGTTTTGATCAATGAAAAATCCTAACTTTTTAACAGAGGAATAGAAGGAGACTCGCTGGTCATTAAGGTGTAGTATGGAAAGCAATAACAATGGCCTGAGTTTTGGCAGCATTTAACCATAATCCGTTTACATATGCCCAGGCACTGATTCGATCTCGGGTCTTCTTGGATCTTGGCAAATGCTCCCAATAATTTAAGAGGGGAAAAGGATAGCTAGATGTTAGAATCATCTGCATAATGATGATAATAGAATCATCCAAAGTAAACATTTATTTAATTTACTATTTTGAAGGAGTAAATAAGGAAGATCCAAAATCTTTTAAACTATAACAATGAGTTGATGGAACATTATTTGGTGGAAGAAAAATATAATAGAGAGATGAGAAAGTAGCTCTATAACTATGGCATTAGTGAGAACCAAATTAGGTGGCAGAGGAGTGTAGGCAGCGACACCAGTGACGCTTTTCCGCTGATTAAGTGCATTTTATAAAGAACCCTTACAAATATGTTAAAAATTAATGAGTGCTTTAGAAAGAGAAATGTATTTTATAGATGCTTTATCTTAAGGCATTTTTCGTTATTGTTGGCTGTTTAATTACAAATGACGCTTGATTTTCAGCTTTAATTTGAACAACATGAAAGAATTGACTTTACTGGTATTTTTTATTGCCAAGACCAATTAGTTTTTAAAATGTTTTGATGTTTTATTACTCTCTGACTATCCAGCTCTAATAAAAGACCAACTATGATGAAACTAAGAACTATGAATCTCATTGACCGAAAAACCAACTCAAATCAAAGGAATCGATCCATCATGTTTGGACGCCATTTTAGGGCAGCCACATTGTTTTGTGGGAACAGTTTTTTTTTTTTTTTTTAAATAAACAGTTACAAGGAACATTGTTTTTCTAATTTTTTTTTAAATAAACAGTTACAAGGAACATAGCGATATGAATTTTATAGGGATGTGAGGGGGAGGTGCATGGTAGGGAGGTCTAACCTACAGACTTCTCTCGGCCACCAAACCTTCCTCCCTTTTCCATCACTCCTTCAAAATGTGAAAATGAATAAATGTTTATTACTTCTCTGACTCATATCAGACAGGTTATTGAAGATTAAAGACGATTGCATATGAAAAAAAATGAAATTTTTTTTTAAATTTTCAAACTTTACAAATAAATAAAAAAATCTGTATCTCAAAAACTATGGGTCATAAACTGTAGCATATTTAATGTAGCTTAAAAATGTATACAATGTTTTTTGTCAAAAATGTGCACCTTCATGGTTATAATGGAAAAGAAACAAAAAAAGTGCAAAAAATTAGCAGTTCTTGGGATTTTCAAAAGTGATCGGGAGGGATGAGGGGACGCCATGGTTGAAAACTTTGATTTTGCATCTCAGTCACTTCCCATACAAGAAAATAAAACGAAAACCTCTACCCTCATTCAATGCAACTTACAATTTACAAAGTTCACAGTTACTGGGCTATTAGAGGGATGTGTGACATTCCCTCAAGATAGCATCAAAATGCTAATAAGAAGTATGCCTTATCATCTTTAAGCAGTAATTAATGCTCGAGGTGGACCAACAAGGTACTAAAACAAAAAAATCTGGTACATGAAACACACAACTTTCACTTATCGCTCTACTTTGATTAAAAATTATTCTCTGGCAATGTCAGGCTATTATAAAATTTTTTAAGTACATTTTTAATGGAGCTACAGCTTAATGCTCACAGCTAAATAATCATTAACACTATTAAAATTACAAAAACTCTATTAATTATATCAACGGTAGACAATAAAAACCATGGTACTCCATCTGTTTTTGTAAACCACCAAACTCCAGTCTCTGAGCTATGAATATATGCCTAGAGATATTTGAAAGTATATCTGCATATTCAACCTATAAATGATTATGGACTGTAAGACTATTAATTATTAAACTGTTATTTTCCATTGTAAAGTTTACAAAATTAAATTACGAGATTTTCATTGTGTGCCATAGATAGGTCAAAAGTTGTCACACTAATTTTAAGTGGATAATGTTGTGATATCACAAAGGAAAAACTCATCAAATTATTTACTAATTTAATATTCTAAAAGATTACAATACGATTTTCGGAATAAACGGACTTTGATACCTAATCATTTAAATATAATATCAGATCTAGAATTACTAAATTACAGGAAATGTATTAAAGGTTATAAACATATGCTTTATACATCCATGAAATAGAATTTTAAACAATGACATTGTCTTGATTCGGTGGATTTTATATATTTTTTTACAAACTTTTTAGAATTTTACATTTAGTAAGAAAATATCATTTAATTTTCTGTTATTAAAATATAAAATATCATATGATTTACATTAAATAATGTTAGTTTTCAAAAATTATTATTTATATTTTATTCGTTACTCTCCGTTACCGCCTACAGCTTTATTAATTAGATATTATTTTTTTCTAAAATTCTCCACTTTCCAACGATATATTATACGTATACCTTCTGACTATTATTTCTGGAGATTCATTTTCGAGCTGAATAAGCATTTTTCTTTTTTTCTTCTTTATTCAATTATCAAATGCTTTCAGAAATTATATTTAGCCTTTTTTCATAATTCCTAACAAGACAGTTAATTTTTTTAAATAAACCAAATTAAAGGTACTTTAAAGGAAGGCGTATATGAACATTGAGCATTAAAGCCCTGTAAAGTGATATCAATGTGAATAAGACCTAGCTGATGTTAAAAACAACTTAATAATGAACTGATATGCCGAGTTTGATCAAAATTGTTAGTCGTTTTCGAGAAAATCGTAAAAATGTGAAACATCGATTGTATAAAGTGCCACTTCCGGTTAGCCGATTTTGACGAAAAAAATCGCTGTAACATCTGAGGTATATATAAACCTTAAATATGCGATTTCACTTTCATACGACTTTTCGTTTCTGAGCTAGACTAGTCAATTACATACACTACAAAGAGACCATTTTGTGGGACTTGGTTGTTTGGACTCAGGAGAGTCAAAACATCTATTTCCGTTGAAAACTCAGATTCGAAAATTTTCACTAATGCAATACTGTCCCTTACTATATATTTCATATATAGGTAAGTGAAAGTAAAAATTAATGAAGTTTCTCAAAATTTAAAATTTATCTTTTAATTTCTAAACCACAAAAATCCAATGCAAACAGTTTTCTTTCGACAAATTTTTTTGATTTATTACTTCAAAACAAGTAGAAGTAAATTACCTTTTAAAAAAAGACTTAAGTATTTTTTTAAAACCTTATTTTAAATGGTCTACTTCATTTACCAATACAGAAAATTATCCTTTAAGATGATTTAAGGAAAATAAATGCAAAAATAATTTGGTGAATACCATTAAAAAAATAATAATTTCCAACTATTGATATATTTTTTTTGTCTCTACATGTAAGAAAACTTGAGTAAAACATGCCAAAAGGCCTACTTCAAAAAATATGAAATACTTAGGCAAAAATGGAAAAATGAACATGACAAATAAAGAAAAAAAAATAAATACAGATTGTTGATAGTAAACCCACAATGATGCCAATTCATGATTAGATAAAAGATAAAAAGTTTTCTGAAAAATAACAAACATCTATTACAGAATTAAACAAATTGATTTACAATATGTGCGAAACTATTAGCTAGCAAAAAGAATTAATCGATTACTATTATCTTTAAGCAATAAACTCACTCAGGTAACCGCTAAATATTTTTTTACTTTCACTTACCTATATATGAAATATATAGTAAAGGAAAGTATTGTGATCATAAAAATTTTCGAATCTTAGTTTTCAACAGAAATACACGTTTTGAGGTCCCCTGAGTCCAAATAACAGAGTCCCGCAAAATGGTGTGTGTGTTAACAGTCTAGCTAAAAAACGAAAAGTTGTATAAAAGTGAAATGGCTTATTACAGTTTTTATATGCTTGGTTATATGATATTACAGCAACTTTTTCATTAAAATCGGCTTATCAGAATTGGCACTTTATATCATGGACAAATTCATTTTTACGATTTCCTCTAAAACGGCTCTAACGGTTTTGATTAAATTCATTATATCAGTATAAAATTAAGCAGTTTTAAATAAAATGTAGTTTTTATTCTGATTGATGTTCTCTAACAGGGTTTAAATGGCTAATTTTCAATATTAGCTTCCCCTAAAGTACCTTTAATTTTTTCTTGTTTGAAACAATTAACCATTTCACATTAATCTCTAATACAAAAGATAGTTAAATATAAAATATGGAAGAATTTGATAATTAACTAAAGGAGAAATAAGAGATCGTAGCGGAGAATAGCTGTCCGATGAATAGCCATCCGAAATATAAGAACATGCTTCCATACGTAACATGAACTTAATACAATACGGACTTCTAATAGAATACAGTGATATAAATATTAAAATCTGTATATATGAGGGTAGTCAAACAAATAAAAATACCCACAATGAAATATAAATAAATATAGCATCTCTAATTTTTACTTCCACTTCCTCTTTGTCTGAAAATACTTATTTCTGCTAAGAAGAGGGTGGTAAGTGAAAGTTGTGTGGTACCCGCACCATAGGTGCACCGCACCAGATTTAAAAAAAAAGGAGTGAAAACAAACTATAACAATTATAGAGGCATATCATTGTTAAGTATGCTATACAAAGTTTTTGAAATTCTGCTGAGTAAAAAGTTCAATTAATTTTTGTCTGAGAAGATTTTGGGTAAAGACCAATATGGTTTTAGATCAGGTAAATCAAATATAGACCACATTTTCTCGATACGGCAAATGTTGAAAAAAAATATGCGAGTATCAAATAGACTTACATCAGATATCATATAGTTGAAACAGGTATATGATAGTATAAACAGAGAATTACTAAAGATAATAATAAAATCATAGATTTCCAAAAAACTGGTCACTTTGACAAGAATGGTCCCCTAAGTGATAGTAGGTCATTTTAAAAATATATGGCCCCAAGAAACGTAAAAGTAGAATAGGTACAATAAATCGATATCCATAAGTGCAACATAGAATCAATAGTATTTTGAAAAACTATACTTAAGGGAGCATAGCAATATACATTCATATGGGGGGGGAGGGTAGGGGGAGAATGGCTCTTATTAAAAAAAAAAAAATGGTTGAATATGAATTGGAAAAGGTTTAATTTGAAATGAAAATAGTTGAATTTGACTTGGAAAAAGTTTAATTTGATTCGGGAAAGGTTGAATTTGACTTGGGAAAGGTTGAATTAGACATGGAAATATTATACTGAAAAAATCTAAAAAGTTGAAATACATGGATATGCAACCACATTATCACAATTTTTTTTGTATTTTTCAAAATATATCCCTTGCGATAATATAGTAAGTAGCCTTCTTTTCGAAAATTAATAAAAATTCAAAAGTTGAATTTGATTTGGAAAGGGTTGAAATTGACTTGTAAATGCTATATGGGAGGCCAGATTTGGTCTTAATCGTGAGGGCTAACCAAATGAGATGGTTGGGTCATATCACATGTATGCCGAGACGTGATTCCCAAATGCTTACAGGAGGATCGACTTGAGATGGCTGGACGAGGTGGAGGATATCCTAAAAAGGATCAGAATCCAAAGTTAGTGATTGCTTACCATAGATAGTAAAGGAATCTCATAAGAGGCCCAGATTCTTGCAGGATCGTAGTGGCAAGAATAAATAAATAAAGTAAAATTATAAAAATTGTTGAATAATAAATAGTTTATGTTACCCATGGTGGTAATCCTATTAAAATCAATTTTATGGAGTAAAATGTACAAGTTTGGATATATTCAATAAAATCCACTCAGGAAATGATTAGGCACCACAATAATGAGTGATAACACTACAAAGAATTAGCTTCCAACTCATAATATTGTTTTCTATTTCTCTATTTTTTAGCACCATTTTATATGAAGCTCTGTATTAAGTGCATTTATAATAAATTTGATAATCTAATAGAAATATTAAGCACATTCATATCCTGGAATTCGAAGGATTGATTTAATCAAAGTAATCACTTTATTTCCTGCCTTTGGTTACTCACTGAGAGGTATCTGATCATGAATACATATTTAGTAAAGTATGGGATCTACTAACTGCTGATAAATCCTAAACTGCTTTTATTATTCGATGAAAATGTCAATATGATTTAATTTTCCTTATAGAAAAATATTTCAAACATTTGCACTAAAAAAAAATATAAAATTAACAGACAAATTTATACAATATATACTTGTTATTGTTGGCCACAATCTTGAATAGAATAAATGTATACAAAAAAACATTCACATAAGTATAACATAATAATAATCATAAAATAAATGAAAAAAAACAAAACAACTTACAGCACTCTTTTCAATATTTAAAATTTTTCTATCAAAAGTAAGTGCAGCAAATTTCTTTGCGATAGCCTCATCATCAGTGATTAACACATTATCAAACATGATTTTTGCTGATATCGACCATAATTCAAAGCCAAGTGCATCCTTCAACAAAATATCAATAAATTAACAAGCATGTTAATATATTTAACCCCAACACTGCAACGACTGTAGGCAAGGCTCGATGAACTAAATAAGTAAGTTAATATATTTAATTTATTAATCAAACATGATACATTCCAAAATCATATATTAATATGGATTAAAATACATTTCATTTTTACAAATATAATTGAGAGATTAGGTTTTTATTAGAAAATTCCAAACCACACTAAACTAGTAATCATTTTTAAAATTATCTAACTCGCTCGAGGGATCTCTCAGATTCAGTGCAACCTTTGGAGCGTTAAAGACATTTATTGGCTTAAAAGAGAAGGAAAAGTATTTGTGTCGGAAAATTAACCTGTTCATGGATTGTTTATAAGTATTTATTAAATTATTAACCATAGATTAGTAGTCAAGTTTGACTGTAACATAATGATTATATTTCATTGTTTAATTGTAGAAACTTCAAGGGTTAACTTCCATAACTATTTATGTCACCCTTTATTGTTGTACTTTAATGACATATCTGTAATCTCAGTATAATACTATGAGCCTAGAACACAAAAATTCTTATTAATTTTTTAAAAAGTCATAAATTATGATAAACATACAATATTGATAAGATACACCGTATCATTACAAAAAAAAAATAAGTCAACAATCACAATGAAAATGAAAAGAAATAAAATAATAAGCCTTTTTAAATTATTTCTAGGATCTAACTTTTAAAAAAAAATGTCTATAAGTTGAAAGTAAGTATTCCTTTATTGTGAAGTATTCCTGAAGTTGCATGAGCATAATTAAACTCATAACCATATATATGTATTAAATTTTCTTCAAGAATATATATTTTTTTACCACCTTATATTCAGATGGATTGTCTAGTACGAACGACACTCAAACAAGAACGATCTCACCACCCAACATCCTCTCCTCCAAGGCCTGCCTGTATTTTTCTAGAAAGGAAAAAGGTTGTTATATTCATTATATCTCTATATTCATCTTATAAATATAGAGGAAGCATGACGCAAACAGGAGTTGGTGCTACATCGATATTTTTAAACTAAAACAACGGGGTAGAGATGGTTGACCGGGGGGTGCGGTCAAATTAATACTAAATTAAACAAGTAGAATTATTTAATTTTTGCCGACGTTTCGACCCACTTTGCAGGTCTTCATCAGGGCTACAAAAGATACAAAACATGGTGAAAATAAATGAATATAAGTAGATATAAAATAAGAATAAGTTGTCTGATACAGAACTAAAAGATGATATCAGAGATATAGTGGGTGACAATGTAGTTAAAATATCAAGTATTATATGTAGAAGATACAAACAAAAATGGAAAATAAGTATGAATAAAAATAGAAAATAAAGGAGAATATAGCATGTAAGTTAAAGGTAAACAGATTGCGATAAAAGATAAGGAATGAGTGTATAACAAACTAATAAAGATTACATTTGATAAATGTAGGTTAACATATAAAGAAAATGAATGTTAACGAATAAATAGATTGTAAATTGAATAAGTATTGATAAAGTAAAGCTAAAATAAGAATAAGATAACATAATAATAAGATATCAGTGGATAACAAGCTAGTGGAGGTTACATTTGATAACTGTAAGTAAATAGATAACGGGACTAAAGGTTAAGAAGTAAAGAACTTGAAAGATTAAAAGGATAACATTAGTGTGATATCGTTAGGATAGATTATTAAGTATAAATAACTCTATAAGAAAACAATAATTATAAGAAGAGAAATTTAGAATGTAAGTATAAGTGTAAAACAAGGTTATGATGATAAAAACAAGTTGTACTGTATATAGATGACAATTGACATTCAGTTTTTATGAAAGTGGTGATGGAAAAGTATGCTGCATGAAGATAATAATACGGTGTATAGTTAAAGGATAGGTGTGTTAACAAAAGAATCATAATAATAAAAGTCAAAACATACCGTAGGATGTAGCACTGCGGAAGGCAGTTGAAACACTGGAAGTGTAAAAATAGTTCTAGTAAAACTAAATTTATACACACATATACAAATATATATATATATATATATATATATATATATATATATATATATATATATATATATAAAGGAATTATAAATGGAAGTGAGAAGATTTGATGGAGGTTTATGGTTGAGAATTTTTTAAAATGTTGATAATTTGGGAATACGCCAGCGAAAGATTTTTTTATCTTTGAAGATTTACTATCTTCATGCAGAATACTTTTCCATCACCACTTTCATAAAACTGAATGTCAATTGTCATCTATATACAGTACAACTTGTTTTTATCATCATAACCTTGTTTTACACTTATACTTACATTCTAAATTTCTCTTCTTATAATTATTGTTTTCTTATAGAGTTATTTATACTTAATAATCTATCCTAACGATATCACACTAATGTTATCCTTTTAATCTTTCAATTTTTTTTTTTACTTCTTAACCTTTAGTCCCGTTATCTATTTACTTACAGTTATCAAATGTAACCTCCACTAGCTTGTTATCCACTGATATCTTATTATTATGTTATCTTATTCTTATTTTAGCTTTACTTTATCAATACTTATTCAATTTACAATCTATTTATTCGTTAACATTCATTTTCTTTATATGTTAACCTACATTTATCAAATGTAATCTTTATTAGTTTGTTATACACTCATTCCTTATCTTTTATCGCAATCTGTTTACCTTTAACTTACATGCTATATTCTCCTTTATTTTCTATTTTTATTCATACTTATTTTCCACTTTTGTTTGTATCTTCTACATATAATACTTGTTATTTAACTACTTTGTCACCCACTATATCTCTGATATCATCTTTTAGTTCTGTATTAGACAGCTTATTCTTATTTTATATTTACTTATATTCATTTATTTTCACCATGTTTTGTATCTTTTGTAGCCCTGATGAAGACCTACAAAGTGGGTCGAAACGTCGGCAAAAATTAAATAATTCTACTTATTTAATTTAGTATTAATTTGACCGCACCCCCCGATCAACTCCTTCTCATAAAACAACAGGGATTTATCTCAGTATATCGAATATGGATTCGGGTCTAACGGCATTCAATTCGAACAAAGTCAAAGATTTCACAGTTATGTCAGAAAATGAAAGGCTGTCAGAATGGAAAAGCAAGGCTCTACATGGCAGATACTAACAGCCAATTGAATGAAGTCTCCATAACAAAGAAAGATCAGTGGAATGGTTAACGGCTGGAAGGTTATTCTCTGAGACAGAAGGCTTGGAATTACTCCTTGGTATGTTCACAGCTAGAATGATTAGAAAATTTTCAAATATTTGAACAAAAACTGTGTAACTGTAGGTGATTGGACTTGTACGCCATCTTTAGCTTTGAAACCGCAAAAGCGAGAATAATAAAGATAATAATAATCATGTTCTTTTGTACAGTGTAACTCTCCCGTATGGTCAGCAATAAGGTCACTGGACGATGGCTACACAGCCTTAAACTTGGTTTTTACAGAGTATAAAGATGTCCCAACAGAAGAGACTGATCGAAAGATGGAAAAATAAAGTACTATATGTTTGTTTTATAATTCTATTCTTCAATCGGCAATTAATAAGGATGCTTCTATTAATTGGCTAAAAAAAGGTTATCTATTTCCCGAAACAGAAGGATTTATTTTGGCAATTCAGGATCAGTTAGTTTCCACAAATGCTTATAGGAAATATATATGTGGAGAAGACATAAGTGACCGATGTGGCCTATGTAAAAATACAACTGAACCAATCCAGCATATATCATCGGGATGTGTGATGTCGGATGCAGGTAAAGAATATTTGAAGAGGTACAATAACATGGTTCCTTATTATCAGGATGAGCCCAAAGAGGTACTATCTGGTGAAAATAAAATAATATATTGGGATCATTCTATAATTACCAATCACACAATAATAAACACCAGAAAGTATCAAGACTTGTGCCAGAAACTTCAGGCAATGTTATAGACTAGATCATATACAAGTATTTCCAGTAGTATTCTCCAGCAATGGCCTCTTGCCAGACAATACCATCCATTCTATTGATAAGTTGAAGCTGCCAGAAAAAGTATTGGAAGAAGGGCAGAAAGCAGTTAGAATGAAGGCTTTGAGGTTATTTGTTTTAAGAAGACTGTTAGTTATAAATCATTATTAGTTCCAGAATCCTTCAGTTCAAAATTGAAAGAGCACTATTGTGAAGAAATCGTAATGAGTAAATTTTGAAAACTCGATAGTTCGCTTCCTGTTGGTTTAAAAAAAAAATGTTTAAGTTACTAGTTATTTTAGTAGGAAACTTACGTTTGTCACTGATAAATCATGTAAGGTGGTTATAAAATTGTGTTTTCTTCCTTGTGTGAGATTGTGTTCTGTCATAGGAATTGATGCTTATTTATAAGTAATTATTTCAAGCTGTTTAAGATTGAATATAAACATTTTTTATCTATGTCACTCTAAAAGTTATATATTTACTGTAAACCAAAAAGTTGGGAAACTTTAGCAGTTTTTAAGTAGAGGGAAATATTTAAAAGATTGATAGTAGACATCAAGATCTACAAAAAAGATTAAATGAACAATTGCCCAATGTCCAGCAGAAAAGTAGGAATTTTAAGATTTGTGTTTTATATGTGTCACCCTTTTTGTTGAATAGGTAGCGATAACTTAAAAAATATTTTATGTAAGTAATTAAACATTGCTCCACAGTAAACTAGACAAAATTTACTTTAAACGGAAGTAGAGTTTGTCATTGTTAAAATTATTTAAAGAGGACTATCGAGCGGACAAACACAGTTAAGTTCCGTTAAAAAAAAGTATTGAATTATTTGCGATTTTTTTATCACTCTTAAACTGTACTACATTTACTCCATTTTTAGGGGTATTAAACTTACTCGTTTAGTAATCTTTAAGTCCATATTAATAAAGTTGAGGTTTATTCGGAAAATTTTTGACATTCACCTCAAGTTGTGTAAAGAAATGATGTCATTTTCTATCTAATCACCCAAGAGTACATGTGTTCTCAGCAATAATGACAACAATTAACTGTTGCAAAGCTTTTATTTTATTACTTTTCCATGTTATGGGATGTATTGTAATAAAAATTATTGCCTAAAAATACATTTTATTTACAAAAATAAAAAATTTAAAAATATTGATTTTTTTTTTTTGATCATAGGAATTGATGCTTATTTATAAGAAACAAACTTAATGTTTCTAGCTCTAATATTTGCGTTTTCACAAAAATAATTAGAGCAATCATAAGGTTTCTTTATTCTTTCTTATTAAAAATAAATTTTAGTAGGAAACATTATGTTTGTTACAGATAAATACGTATCAATTCCCATGACGGGGATCTGGAAGAAAAACACAATTCCATAACCATTTTATGAAAAAAATATTTGAAAAAAATCATCATTTTTAAATTTTGTATTTGTATAAATAAAATGTACTTTTAGGCTATTATCTTTATCACAACACATCCCATATCACAGAAAAACAATAAACAAAAACATTGCTTTTACACAAATTTAATTGTAACCATTTTTGCTGAAAAAATGGGTAGTTTTAGGTGACTGGATAGAAAATCACATCATTTCTTTACTTAACTTCAGATGAATATCAAAATTTATCTTAATAAACCCCAAATTAATTAATATGGACTTAAAGCTTCTTAACAAGGAAGTTTTCCTCTTTTAGTTTTAGTTTACATTTATCCTGGGATATATGTAGTACAATTTAAAGGTGATAAAAAAATTGCAAATAATTTATTACTTTTTTTAAACGGAACTTAGCTTAGCTGTGTTTGTCCGCTCTATAGTCCTCTTTAAATAATTTTAACAATGACAAACTCTATTTCCATTTAAATTAAATTTTGTCTAGTTTACTGTGAAGCAATGTTTAATTGCTTACATAAAATATTTTTTAAGTTATTGCTACCTATTCAACAAAAAGCGTGGCGCATATAAAACATAAATCTTAAATTTTCTACTTTTCTGCTGCAAATTAGACAATTGTTCATGTAATCTTTTTACATTTTTTGTAGATCTTGATGTCTACTATTAACACTTTAAATATTTCCCTCTACTTACGGGACACCAAGTATAGTACAGCCATTATATATAACCGTATTATATTTTTGGTCAGGGGTTACAGTCAACCCTAACCAACTCTTCAAATTATAGTCACGGTCAACTATCTCCGAACCATTTGTAAAATAATACATATTCTTGAAGAAAATTTAATGCTTAACAACTTTTCCATAGAATGAAGAAATAAAGAATTAGTTATGAATATGAACATACAAACGGGAGACAAACTTTTTTTTTTCGAAATCGTACTTTCACAGAAACTGTTAAAATGAAACTTTTCCTAAAAATTTCTAAAAAATATATATATAAATTTTGCATGCAAATGTATACAATATAAATAAATGTTTAATTACAAGACAAAATAGTTTGTTAATCAACTTACAATTGAAGACATTTGGAAAGGGTTTTTATCTTCAAAATAATCTGGATTAGGAATTTTTCTAGGAGTCCAAACACCTTTATAATTTGGGTTATCAATTAGAGGAGGAACCCATTTACCCTTGTATTCAGGGTTGTTAATAAGGGGAGGAGACCAAGGCCCACAACCTGAAACCTCTTCACATGCAGGATTAGGCACTAATGGTGCTTCCCATTCACCATCCATTTCATTATCCCTAAAAATTAACAAATGAATAAATTAAATGTAATAAGTTTACAAAAATAAATAAGAAATTACTAAACTTATTTATTAACCCTACAGAATATTTATTTTATGTATTTAGATCATAAAAAAAAATATATGTGACAAACGATCTACAGTTTTAAGATTTCTAACATTCATTTAGCAAACACAACAGAAATACTGATGGGATATTGGTAATTGGAAAGGCAGAAACATTATAACACAGAAACACTCTACTACTGTTAATCGTTTTTTCATGAAATTTTCGGAAATTGTGTGACGTGACCTACATAGTCTCCTGTCAATTACTTCCAATGCTTTCATTTACGCGCGTATTTTTTTAAACATATTTTAAAACCGGCTCGTCACATTTAACTCATTAGTTGCGAATTAGTGAACAAATTATTATGAGTTAGTTTTATTGAATTCCATACACTAGCTCCTTTTCCTTCCTTAATAGCTTTTTTTTATAAGAATATTGGCAGTCGCCTTTTACACCACATCACACTGAAAAGTAACAGCTAAAAGTTGATACTAATTTTTGCACCTCAAAAAAGGCTCAACTATAAATTGAAAATTGAAATCTACAGATAATAATAAAAAAAAACATGGGTCTGTTCGACATGTGATCAAGCAAAAAAAATCTGTAATGCAGAAAAAAAATTCAAGTAGTAAGCCGTCAGCATTGAAAACACTAGCGGCAGTCAACTGCATTGATACCCATATAAATGAAGAGGTTAAAAATATGAAAACAGCTCTCGATAAATACGGGGATCTCAGTTTTGAATTGAGTGAGAGGCTAACTAAAATAGAAAACATCTAGAGTGCCAAGCAAAACACGATGGAGAAATTATCCTCGAAAATAAAGCCCTTAAGAGCTGAGGGAGAGAATTATAGGTACGCTAGAATAAAACCGAACAGATTAAGCAAATCGTTGGTGATTCGTGGGATACCAGGACGAACAGGTGAGACGCCCACGGCTATAGTGACCAGTATGGGGGCCGGATTGGGCATCAGGCTTACAGTGAAGGATCTGGATGTGGTGCAACGCTGCAGAACCAGGAAAGATGACCCCTGACCACCGCCTATAATCACACACTTCATCAAGCAGTCAAAGAAAAGAAAAGTCAAGAGGGACTTCACAACGCGTGATATCGGGTAGCAGGAAAATGACTGCCACCAAATTTATCTGAGCGAGGAGATGACTCTCACCAACAGACCTCTTTACTGGCTTGCCCAACAGAAGAGAGTGGAAGAGAAAATAAAATTTGTTTGGTTCGCCGCCGACAAGGTGTGATGCAGAAAGGATGACGGTCATCAAGTAATCTTCATTGACCAGTCCTCTTATCTCGACGTGTTTGTCTGACTGCTTGAGTTTTGTCAATATTCCACCCTCTCCAGAGTGTTATTTAGTACAACTGGTCCTCAACTAATTTGCACCTTTTTGTCTTCAAGGTCATGTTATAATCTTCACTTATTAATTTATAACAACTCTTTTTCATTTATTTTCTCTATGTACACTCTTTTTATCCTTATTTTTATTGATTCTTGATGTTATTTAGTCTATTACATTTGTTCCTATCTCTCTCCACCATTTTCTGACTTCTTTGTCAAATCCTTTCTATGTCTAATATTATAACCACCTGTCGTGTTAACTCCCAATCCCTTCTTGCTAATTACGATGAATTCCTGCAGTACTTCACACAAAACTTTTATCATATTATCCCAATATCTGAAACCTGGCTCAAACCTCACATTCTGTCCTCTTCTATCTCCCTCCCTAGCTACAGCCTTCTCCGCCATGACAGGGTCAACTGGACCGGCGGAGGAGTAGCTATCTTTGCCTATGATAGTGTAGTAGATAGCCCCCTGTATTTACTCCTTTGTGTGACATTGTGTGAGGTTATGAGAAGGAATATATAGGAATGTGAGGATGCAAGATTGAATTGTACTCAATTGTGCAGTAGACAAATTATTCATTGAAAAGTCTCATATTGATAACAATCGATGAAGAAGGACGCTGGAAAAAGGACAAAGCAGGTAGCAACAGCTGGAGAAGAACGCCAAGAAGGGGAGAGAAGGCACTTGAGGCTGAGACATTGAGGCGGAACGACGTTAGAAGTCTACTACAAGATTTAGAATATCAAGTCTATAGTTATAACACTTTAATAGAGTCAATTTATTACAGTTGTAGAAATAAATTATTATGTTATACAGGAGTGAAAAGTCATTTATTTATTTAGTTGTCCTATATGCTTCATGATTGAAGAATAACAAACCAGGTGAGTCAATTCATTCAAGATGTATTTACTAGGTCCCACATTTCATTTATACATTCTTATTGTTTCTTCTCACTCAGTGTCACAAAAGTATTAGATTCCCGAATTCCCAACAACAGTTAAACACCCTCAAAGTCTATATCCAGTGCCGGGGTTTTGTTTTAATATTCATGAGTGTAAATAACCTAATCCCCCGATATAAAAGCGGAAGGCTATTTACAATTCCCGCCAAAACATATTATTTACATTTAACTTTTAACAGGTTATTTACAATAGCCTAAAGATCCGGGTCCTTGATCACTCCCCACCCTTTGACCACCTCCAAGTCGAGTACCTTACAGTCAAAATTTCCTGCTATACTTGCACTCTTTTAAACCGTCCTGTTTGATCCTACCTTTGAATCAACCCTGTCCAATTTTGTTTCCCTCTACTCTAGAATAATTATTTCCGGTGACATAAATACCTATCTCCTCACAGAAACCAAAGATAAATCATATCTGGAAAACCTCTTTTTCTCGCTGCCAGTATCTTTTCTATCACCTCACGACCTGATTCCAGTATCCTATAATATCCAAACTCTTCTGATTCAGCCAAAAACCCTCACTTTCCGCCATCTGGCGAATCTCAACCGTGGAAAGATACAACCTGATCTTGAATCCTTAGACTGGAATGGAATATACTCCTGCTCTTCCATCGACTCCATGGTTGATATTTTTACTTCCAATCTGCTCAGTATCCTTAATATCCATACCCCTATAAAAACTTTTACCTTTCGTTGTCGTCCTTCACCTTGGATGTCAAGAAATTAAAGATCTGCAGAAGAGATATGATGCTGCCCACAAATGCTTTAGATGTACTAGACTTGCAGATGACTTCCAAGCGTTTAGGGTGCTGCGCAACTTGACTCAATCCAGGATCTGACAAGCAAAATCCTCTTGCTTCCATAAAGCTCTTTTATCAGCTCCTCATATCAAAACTAGATGGTCACTCCTTCGAAAACTTTTCCTTTGTGAACCCTTTATATTCCCTACGTCATTAGCCTTTCCAGTATCACCAGATGCTTTAAACTCACATTTTATATCTGCTGCCTCTACTTCTTCTCCTTCCGTTTTCTCTCCAGGAACATCATTTAATGATGATGACTTTTATTTTTTATACATTTCTCCCACAGACTTTTTATCCGCTGTAATGAAACCCCACATACGAATTTTACAGGTCCAGATGGCATTCCTGTCAAATTAATAAAATTATATCTCCCTGAAATCCTCCCAGTTCCCTATACATTTAAAATGTCTCCCTTCAGAATTCAATATTCCCCTGGTTACTCCATGCAATCAGTCCTAATTACAATGGTCAGTGATGTCCAGGCTGCTACTGATGAAAAAAAAAAAAATGAAATTGCCCTTGTCCTCCTTGACTTTTCAAAAGCCTTTGACTCCATCAACCATTCCATCCTTTTTTCAAAACTAAAATCATTATCCTTCTCCAAAAGTTCTATCTTTCCTATCTCAACGTTCCCAAGCAGTTTCTATCCCTAAACAACTACTTTCTTCCTATCTTTCTCTATCCTCTGGAGTTGCTCAGGGTTCTAGCATTTCTTCACTTCTTTTTAATGCCTACATAAACGATCTTCATAAATCAATCCTCAATTTCTCCCATCAACGACGATTTCCAAATTCATTTATCATTCTCTTCCTCTCAGTTATTTGTAGCATTTGCCAAGATTCAAGAAGACTTAGATCAAATCAGTGCTGGGCATGCCTAAATGAAATAAAGATTAAATGCTGCAAAAACTCAGGCCATTGTCATTTGTTCCAGGTCCCTTCTCCAATCCAATTCCAAACATTCCCACATTATACTCTATATCCGAACATACCTTATTGACCTGTTTTTCTCCCTAGACCTATTTATTGTACCTTTTCAACCCACCCATCATACCCAGTCCAATGATACCTGACTAGAATTATTTATCATTGATTCCTCTCAAAACCTATTATCCTCTATGCAAAACCCTGTTTCCTTTCTCTCATCCCATTATCTTATTGAAATATCATACAATGTTATTATTCCTAGCCTTATTCCCAAACCAATTTCTTGGAGAGATCTTGATTCCCTCACCACTGAAAACATCAGACATTATCTCAATTCGTTAGAACCCATCTACTCCCTTTCCTCCATCGATGACATGGTAGAATAACTTTTCTCTAACCTTCTTGATTTTCTTAACCATCACACTCCTCTTAAAACCTGCACTTCTAGACATCCTCCTGCTCCTCGGATAAATAAAGAAATTGGAGAGTTGATGAGAGGAAAAGAGGCTGCCAGAAGACGATATAGACGTACACGACTACCCCAACACTACTGTATTCAAATTCCTACGGAACAGTACACAAATATCCTTATGCTGGGCCAAAGTGCAATACCTTAACAATGTACTATCCCCAGAACCTAATTCTAAATTCAAATGGACAATCCACAGGAAACTCTGTCATAAGCTCTAAAACCTGCACACTTTATCCAGTAGATCTGAACGAACAAAATTCCTATTTTGCAAACCATCCTTCTTCTGTATTCACATCTGACCTCTTACCTAATTCCATCACTAAAACCTCCTTTGACCCTGATAAGTTTTTTTTTTTTTTTTTTTTTTATGATATCTCTTCAACTGACCTAATCTCTATTATCCTTAAATCCAAAACCAACGACTATAGTC